CCACCCCCACCCATAAAAAACATTACTATAAATTTGTTTTTTGTAAGGTTGGACATGTACAAATAACCCGTTTTTTTTGTTCCATGTCCATTGAATTCGGTCCACCCCACCCTTTTTTTTTCTTTCAAGTCGCCTTTTGTTTGGGTTTCGTGGTGTGTCGGGGTCACCCCAAATACCAATCCTTTCTTGTCCAGGGATAAACCCAAACCAAACCAAACCAAACCAAACCAAACCAAACCAAACGCCCATTATCCAATTCCCTTGAAGCAAAAAAAAAAACAAGAAAAAAAAAACCCAAGAAACAATTTCCAATCTGATATCTTTGTAAAACCGACAGACAAAGACTTCATAAGCGTCATTTGATGATGCCACATGTTGGCTTGAACAGGTGGAAAAAAAAAAAAACAAAGGCGCCTGACTGGTTCAAGCTTCTTCTTGTGCCGAAATATTGCCCCTTCCCCCCGGAAATGCTCAATGCGTGCGCGACGAATGATATAAAGAAACAATGAGATGTGTAAACATGTACAAAATCGAAGTGAAAAATAAAAAATGGGTTGACAATCTGGTGTGTGTGTTGGATGGCCTTCTCAGCCATGGTTTCTTCTTCCGTAAGCAAAACCGCGTGGTTGACAAGTGTAAACGTTGTATATAGCGCAAGTGATAATCCCCGGTCTTTCTTCACCTCGCAGGATCCAATCTGCTTCTTGTTGTTGCTCTGGGTATCTTCCACCCCGTTGATGCAAAAAAAGAAGGTCATTGATTGAGGATCCGGCAAGAAAAAGAAAAAAAGGCTACTCCAACCAGAGAAACGTATCCCCGTCGATCGATCAATTGACTGATGAAATGAGTGAACCCATATCGGGAGGGAGGGGGGGTAAAAGCCTAGAGCGATGGCTTCTTGAATTGTGAAAGTGAGAGAGAAATAGACCGAAAAATGCCGAGCAGTAAACCGCCCCGGCTGGGAAAAGGATGGAAAAGCACGGTTATACACCCTGCGCTTCCGTAAAGAAAAGGACTTTTTTTGGTGTTAGGTTTGTTCTTTTTTTTTTTTTGGGTGGGAAAGGGGTTGTTGTTGTTGTTGTTGTTGTTGTTGTTGTTGTTGTTGTTGTTGTGTAGTGTAAGGTGGTGATAAAACGAGATAGCAAAACCCATCTATCGCGGTACGCTAAGGCGGTCGAAGAAAACAACGCAAAAGGAACAAGATAGCCGACACTGATCTAGTGCCCCCCAACCGGAAAGGCAAGGTCAAATGGCATGTCGTGCAAGTCATCACGGGTGTGCATCATGGCGGGCGGGAGCATGTCGTTGACAAACATGCCGGCCTGGGTGAGAGTGGCCGTCGACGAGACTGGAGAAGTGTAGTTGGAGGTGTCGATGCTCATCATCGAAGAGGACGGCATGCCCTGCTGGAGCTGATGTCCCTGCGATGGACCACAGTCCGCAAAACCGGCCGAAGAGATTGGCAGGCCATGAAAAGAGGCGGCAAAGACCGAGGTGTCGAGCGGATACAGATCGGAGAGCTGCGATCCAAGCTCGCCTTGGAGACCCTGTGACGAAAGATCCTGACCGAATCCCCCACCAAGTCCGGCGTAGACGGCCATGTTGCTGTAGGCGTCCATGCCGAGAAGGTTGGGTGGCACACCATAAGCCTGCGCGCCGAGTTCATTGTCAATGTCCTCTTGTTCGACCTGGCCCACCGAGTCGCTCCCGTCAGGACCGAGGGCACCCTCCTGGTCCATCGGCACTGTCACCTCCATCATCCACAGCTTGAGCTCCGACATGGGGGGCCAATCGCCGCCGCCCTTGCCGCCGCGCTTCTCTTCCTCCATCTTGGCGGCCGAGCTGGCGCCTTTGGCACCATTCTTGGAACCAGCACCCTTCCGTGCCTTGACCTTGAAGTGGGTGCGTCTCAAGTGAGCAGCAGCATTGTAATAAGCGCCGTACTGCTTAAAGGCCGAACATTGCTTGCAATCCGACAGAGGCTTGGCGGCCGTCTCTGCGTGCGGGATGCCGAGCAGGCCAGGGTCCTGGCAAATCCACTTCTTGACCATGCTCTTGTGTTTGGCTTCGGTGTGACGGCGCAGCTCGTGCTCACCCCGGAACCCTTCGGGGTTCCGTTGCACTGGTGGCAGCGACCTTGGGGTGCTTGGGGCGCTCATACTTGGTCTTGGTGATGACGGCCTTGGGGTCCTTCTTGTTGGTGGCCGATGCGGGTTGTTCCTTCTTGACGACATCTGGCTTTGGCTGAAGTTGACGAGACTTGGCGTTGACGTTCTGGCGAGCAAGAGATTCTTTGGCGCGGACCTTGAGGGAATTATTTGACTTGGTGCTGTCTCTGGAGACCGAACGCTCCATGCCGAGGTCATCGTTCATGTACCCCGCATTGAGTTCCTGGATGGCCGCCGACGAGATGGAGTGAGAGCTCGACTGGGAGGAGGGCGACTTCTTCATCTGATGTTGGTGAAGCATCGAGTCGATGGGCGCAGAAGAAGGATAGGCACCGACAAAGTGGGCGCTGGGGCCGGTTCCCATGTGAAGGTCTGTGGCCGACCTCTTTCCAAGCAACGAAGGTTGATGATACGGCGGCTGACTCGGGCCAAAGCTGTCTTGTCGAGCTTGTCCATTGGTGGAATGCTGTGACCGAATGCGGACCATCTCAAGTTGGGACAGGATGGCTGCGTTGTTGTCGTTGAAGTTGCTGTTGCATCTTGACATGGCCGTGGTTCCGACAGATGGGCCCGAGGTCAAAGAACCACAAGCCGATGGCATGCCTGAGTCGGGATAATGTGATGCCTCTTGGGGCGACAACATTCTGGAGGAAGGGATGGCGATGGGCGAGACGCTGGAAAGGTCTCCTCCCATATCCCGCATCGAGAGAAAATCGGCAACATCCATCTCTCTGCCCGTTGGTGTTGGTTGGAGCTGGGAATGTGACTGGAAGAAGGCGTTGACGGGCTGCTGCATCTGACCCTGACCAAGATACTGCTCAAGCATGGCCGAACTGGGACCCGACAGACTGCCGCTGGGGACACCTGGTTGAATGGACATATTTGAGCTGGACCTCCCCATGCCCGTGCCAGAGGATGGACCGGCATTGTGTGTGGTCTTGGAACGCTTCATGGGACGGCTCTGGTCCTGGCACCATTGGTGAGCATGAGCAAAAGAGTGGGTTGGGTCTCGGAGTTTCGTTACTTACCTGTGACTGGACGTGATCCAGCTGAAGGGAAACACTGTCAGCAGCAGCAATGCCGGGGGCAGCCGTCACACTGCGGGGTATCGTGTTGCTTCTTGATCGTCCATTGTCGGCGAGAACTGGTCGTGACGGAGCGATCTGGTAGTTGCCGGGGACAGACTCAAAGTCGAGGGCGGCAGCTGTGGCCGAGGACCGGGACGTCCGGGCTCTGCTGAGCTGGCTCATGATCTCTTGCTTCTCGTGCTCTTTTTGTCGAAGCAATGCTTCTAACCTTTGGACCTGGCTCATTCTGGTCGCCTTTCAGCGTGTCAAGAGTAGGTGAGGCGAGGAGAGGTAGGGCGGACCGAGTGGGAAGAGAATAAAGTCGGCCGGCGACAAGTGGATGTACGTATGTAGATATGTATGTATGGTATGGTATGGTATGGTATGGTTGGTTGGTTGGTTGTATGTGTGTGTATGTGTGTGTGTGTGTTGGAAGTAAAAGACTCGGGATGAGTCAAAAGATGGAATGGGAAGTTGCAGATACAAATGTAAGTTGTTGTAAGTCAATGTCAATGTATAATAATAATGATTGAAGAAGGGAAAAGATTGGCGCAACGAGGAGCGAGCAAATGATATTTATCGAGCAGATGCTCACGAGGCTTCGTTGGATATGGCACGCAACGACGAGACCTACCAGGTGCCGAGGGGGTCTGGGGTCAGCTAGCTTAGTGTCGATTTCGAAACGGAGTTTCTTGGAGGGCATGAGGTGGAGGAGGGGGGAGGATGGGAGTATACAATATGATCAGGTAGACATGGGCATGCAGGTGGTGTGGCCTACCACGATACTTGATACCAGGTACCTCGATAGAGATCCAGAATGGTGACGACTTGTTGGACCAGGGATCAACGGTATGCTTGGTCACACCAAATGTGAGCTGGGAAAGGGAGATCTTCTCCCCGATTAGCGGGCTGCTCGTTCTGTTTCTGGGCATTGTCACCCCCCCCCCGCCCCCCCAAAAAAAAAAAGCAATCTCACCCCAAGCAAACGGGCCCAGGATGTGACGGGATGGATCTGCCACCTCACCTCACGACGATAAACTCCTGGAATTGCAAGTCCCGTCGATTGCTTATTCATGATGATAATAATTCCAACTCATCTCTGCAGGTGAGATGGATGGATGGATGGATGAATGGATTAGATGGATGGATGGAATCCTCAAAGAAGACTGGAAGGAAGAAGGCTGCTTCCATCCCCCGGCAACTTCCACGACAGGTTCTCTTGCGTAGACTAGTGGTGGGAGGTGTGCGCCCGGTTGCGGAGGGGAACAGTCATATTCCCCATCTCCCAATCGTTATCGAAGCCATATTCTGGCTGGGCTCTGTCCCGCGGGTGCATCCCATCGTTTTCGCGGGGGCGGCTCAGCAGCCAGTATCCAGTAGGGGCAAATAACCCGAGGGGGGAAGAGACGGAAACAGACGAGAGAGAGATAGTGAAGAGAAAAAGATGAATCATCAAGGAGGGGAAGGAAGGGGAGGGAGAGGTGATGTGTTGGCTGCCCGGTGGTGGCCGTAAGGGTTCCTGTCGCGGCAAGTTGCACCCAACGGTCCAGTCACAGTTAGCGGTCGTGTGCTGGCTAGCGCGCCAGGGAACCGCTGAAGCACACCCGTCGAGCCACGGCTCCACTGGCTCTCAGGGCAGTTCCAGGTTCCATTCTCTAATATCGTCACCACTGTCGCTGTCGTGCTACTGCTGCACAGAAGGGCTTTCCAGCTTCTCAACCCCCACAGCTTCGACGAGGTTGAATATTCTCCGATACCTGTTGTCTACTGCATGTCCCCCGCCTCCTCTCTCCCAAATTGCAGATGCCGTCGTGGGTCCACACGAGATCCATGAGTCGATCCTTGGGCACCGTTGCAACTTCTCAGTTCGGTCACCTACATTTCACACATCATATTATATCTGATCGATGTAGGAGACAAGGAGAGAAGAGAAGATTTCTCTGCTTCTGCCACTAGAACAGAATCGGGCTCGGTCGACCACTCTCAAAGAGTCGAGATGCATGTGTCGCCTGTGGCACGCTCTGCTGTCAGCGAATCCCGCCCATCCCTCGCTGCTGAGCCAAGCATCCGGTGGGCGTCACGATCGTCCTGATTGGCCCAAAAAGTGAGGCAAGCACTGCTGGGATGTCTCTACTGGATGAAAACGTCCGGCCAGGGCGGGCCTTTTCGGGCACATCCTCATCATGTACTATTCACGTAACCCAAGCCACAACTGACAAGACTGACAAGACTGAGAAGACCAGATGTGGCTGCATCAATATCTCCTCCCTCGGGTCAATTGGTGTGGTGGTGTTGGGCTCCAATCCCCCCCTCCCCCCCCCGGGCAGTTGTGGCTTGTGGGTGTGCATGACCTCTCTGAGGTGGATGAGCTGGCATCGTGGCATTCCAATGCCTGAGCGATTGACACGTTTCTAGCTTCCAAGATAGCCGAGCCTCACCGCGGCGGCGAAGCACTGTGGCACTCCTTCACCTTTCCTGCCCGACATCATACCTAGCATTGACGTCGTCACCGAAGCCCACCCTACAGACATGTACCTGCAGCAACCCCTCCGGAATCAGGGACTCGCGATACGAGATGCCACGAAGCTGCCCGGCTTTGCTTCTTGCTTCTTGCTTCTTGCTTGTTGCTTGCTTGCTGCGAGTCATCGTCGACTCCGCCAGAAATCTGCAGATAAGCCCAAAGACCACAATTGTTCTGTTTCCCCTCCGAAGCGCGGGATAATTAACAAAAGATGCCGGTCGCCGCATTCCGGACTCCGCCCCGCAAGGCTCTATAAAACACAAACACGCCCGGGTCCCTGCTGGGGACTGTCAGATGACTCAATAATGCTCAATGCTTCCAGATAACCTGGGGAAGCACCAAACACGGCGGAGAAAAGAGGCTCTGCCGAGTGGAGAGCAGCAGTGCTGCCGGCAGGTGAAACAGCGTCGTGCTATGGCGGGACAACCTTTGAATGACATCCATGACAGCCCGGGCGGGAGAGAAGTAGACGGCTAGCGGCATACCTCCTCGTTGACCGCTTTGTATCGTCTGCGATATGTCTTGCCTCGGTAATGTCCCAAATAAGCCACCTGGCGCTTGCTGGCATATTGAAGCCCTCACCGGTCACGGATGCTCTCTCGGCGCGCGATATTAAAAAATAAGATACCGCAAGATGCGGAGTGACCCACCCACGGCCGAACGGCGCCGGCCCTCAAAGTCCGAAAACTGGACCCCATCAAGCCCCGTCTTGGCGTTCCGGTTCAGAGCTTCTCCAGGGTGACAACAGAGGACCCAATCATGTCGTGCCACTTCACGATGGTTGCCTGCCATTTCCGACCCTCCCTCAGCGCGTATCGATAGAGCATTCTGGACCAGATGAGGGGGCGAGTGGTTCTCGAATGATGTCGACTGCCGAGATTGCTGCCGACAAAAGCACTGCTGGGGATGCCCGGTCCGTTCAGACACTTGATCAATTCGGCTGCGCTGTCACCTGGACGGCATGAACCAGTTGTCAAAAATACAGTTGACTCATGAGGGGAACACCGGGAAGCGCGCTTGATTTCAAAATCCAAAGCTGGCATTTCGATGCTGGGACTTACACAAGGTAAATGCTTGAGCTCGGTCAGCGAGACTGCCAATTCCACCGCAACAGCCGACCCTCTGGCGGTGAGAATTCCCTCCATTCGCAAAGCGATAATCGTAAGAGTCACAGGTTATGAGGAGACAGAATTTGTCACCAAACTTCCAGAATTTGAGAGGGGCCATGGGATGAACGTTGGTGAAGAAGCACAAGATGGCGGGCAAAAACATCCCGCCGATGACATAATCTTGGCACCCCCGGTTCAGTGCTCCGATAAGGCTCCTTATCGGGCGCAACAGTGCTGTGGCAGCGCGATGCCAACAGCTGTCATCAACGGGAGCAAGTGGCATCAACGAGAGGCCCTTCAATAGCAGCAACAACAACAGCAACAACAGCAACAACAACAACAACAACAAAAGAAATTATTTCTGAATGTGAGCCCGAGGCTGGGGCTGCCACTGTCATTGCGACAACATCACACACAATGCGCCGGCTCAATCTGGTTCTCCTGGCTTCGCTGCAGCTCTGCAGAGCTCGACAGCCCAGCTTTAGCATTCACGAGGATCTGCTGGCCCATCCACAGGTATGTCATTGGTCATTGTTAGCCGTCAAATAGCAACACCAGCTCACAATTCGACTGTTTTTGTTTTCCTTTTTATAAGTTCGAGATTGTCTTTTCCGATCAATTCATTTCCGAAGCCGACGCTCTCGCTCTCCTCGACACACAATCATCGTCCTCCCCAGCTCCCTCTCCAACCCCATCATCCCAGACCGAGCTCGCCAGCCCGTCCACAGAGACAGATGCCAGCAATGGCCAACAACAAAACCCCGAAGACACCGACGATGATTCCAACCCGGTCTCCGAGACGTACGAGCTGATCAACTCTGCCCCGTGGAAATATCTCTGCACCGTACCCGTCCTCGCTCCCCCTCCAACACTCAACCAAACCGCCACCGAGCTCGCCAAGGCCGAAGAAGCTCGGGAAATGTCCCGTGCCTCGGCCAGGGGATGGGAGCTCATGAGTGGTCTTGACGGACATTGTCTCTACTTTATGAGTGGTTGGTGGAGCTATTCTTTCTGCTACGGCAAAGACGTTGTTCAGTTCCATGCTCTGCCACGAGGCACCGAAGGGGGCCCGCCTGTCCGGGATGACAGCAGCCAGGAGTATGTGCTGGGAAGGGCGCTACCCGCTTCCGAGCAACCAAAGGACGGGCAAGAAAAGGGCTTGGCCCCTCCCAACTCGGAGCTACAGGTCAAGGGCGACCAACGATACCTCGTCCAGAAGTTCGAGGGTGGTACCATTTGCGATCTCACCAACAAACCACGCACCATTGAGGTGCAGTATCACTGCCATCCCGGCGTGGCAGGGGACAGGATTAGCTGGATCAAAGAGGTTACGATTTGCACCTACCTCATGGTGGTGCAGACCCCACGACTCTGCGATGATGTGGCTTTTCTCCCACCAAAGGTCACCAAAAGACATCCCGTTACCTGCAAGCAAATCGTCAGCAGCGAAGAGGAGGAGTCGGCATGGAGATATCAGAAGCAGGTCGAGGCCGGCGGTGTGCTCGAGGGCGCTGGCGAGAGAGCCAGGCTCAAGGTTGGCCGCCCTAATGGTGGAGCCGACAGCAACCCCTTTTCGGGCATGACCATCGGGGGCGTGGTGGTGGGGGGACAAAAGATCCTGGGAGGAAAAGTGAATGCCGATGGAACCCCGGCGTTTAAGCTCATGCCTCCCCGACACGTATCCGCCCTCTCTACGCCCAAGGCGGCGACCGTGACCCATGTTTTGCTCGCCAAAGAGAAGGAAGGGGCCCCTATTGAAAGGCTCAGTCCGGAAAAGCTAGAGGAGCTGGGGATCAAGGATGCGTTCTTGGACGAGATGGAGGCCCAGTTGGAGGCGGTATCCGGCGGTGAGGGGTGGAGAGTAGAAGTAGTGGACGCGCCTGGCCAGGAGCGACAGTATGTGGTCTATCAAATGCTCGACAACGGCGCCGACGCAATCGACCTGGAGAAGAAGCACACTTTGCCTCCTGGTGGTGCCGAAGACCAAAAGACCAAGGGCGAGAGGCAGAAGACGGCGACCAAGAAGCAAAAGCCAAAGGCCAAGAAGACCGCCGGGCAACAGGAAAAGACGGAAGGCAAAAAACCGCGTCTCGATGACGACGAGGAAGGGTCCAAAGAGGAGTTCAAGGATGAGCTGTAAGGTACCCGTTATGTATATTGGCACTAGTTGCATATATTGACAGTCATCAAACTACTTTTCTTTCTGGAACAGCTGCCGCCGGGGGAGTCCGCATTATGGGGCTTGCCTCGGTTTGTTCAAAGTGCCCGGAATCTGCTCCGGCGCCTCCCTCCTACATTACATAACCCATCATTGCAAGAGCCTCATCAACCAACCACCCATTCAGAAGACTGCCGGGAAGAAAACAAGTGTTTTATGGGGCATTTGCCACTGGCCAGGGGTAATATGTAGCCATGTCCCCACCTTTGCAGGACTAATTCTTGCTCCTGCAGGTGGCGATGTGAAGTCTTTTTTTCTTCTTTTTTTCACAGCGCGCGCTGGACGCATGTATAATGACGACCAGCTTTTCACAATCACTTTGTCCCTTCTTTCTTTTCCCTCTTCTCTCTCTCTTTTTGCTTGATGACCACCAACAGCACCTTCAAGCCGATTCTGCGCGACTGAGTTGTCAGACTCCGGACTGGGACAAGCATCCGTTGGGTTTGCGGTGATCATCGCCGTTGGGTTGGAAGCGAGCGAAAGGGGGTGTCTTGGCATCCGTCATACCCTTCCCTCTTCCCATCCCGCGCTCCTGCCGCCTATCTTTTCGAGCAAGGGGTCTCTTCCAAGCACACGGACCCTTTTCTCTAATTGTTTTTCGAGAATCCGGACTCCCGAGACATCGTAACGACAAGGAAGCATCATCACCGGCCCGGCAAGAGGATACTTAACAGTTGCTGTCAAGAGTGGGAAGCCATCCGGTTGGCTCACTGTCTTATCTTTGAGATTGAGTGGGAAAAAAAGAAAAGAAATAAAAAGTTGGGATGAACGGATAGACACGTTGGCATATTACGCGATATTACATCAGACGAACGCTTATATTGAGCCCTGGCCCTGGTCAACGGAAACGGCAGTTGAAACGGGAATCACAGGGGGTTAGGTGGGAAGAAATGGACACACATATGGATCATATCAAAACGGAGGACGAGGAAGACCAGGGGCACGGGCTACCGCACCCGACTCCGTCATCGCAGGCACGACAGACACCGGCACCAACAAAACGACAGCCTAGCTTGACTGAGTCCAGCCGAGGGGGTAGGAGGACAGCATCAAGCTTGACGGCCAACAGAAAGGTTTGCGACCATTGCAGGACGAGACGGATAAAATGCGATTACCAATTCCCTTGCCAGCAGTGCCTCAATGCCGCCTTGGTGTGCAAAAGGGACCAGGTCCCACGGAAAAGAGGTCCCAAGCCAGGTCATGGTCGAGTCCTTGACAGGATACGGTCAAAAGAGGAGGAAGTGCTGGGGATAGCGTCGAGGGAGAGCAGCGTCGAGTATGTTTTATTCAGCACGATGGGCATTTCGTAAACTGACCCCGGACGAGAAACAGCTTTGAGACCACCCCGAGCAGTCTCGGCACCCCTCAGTCCACGCCTCCTGACACGCCCTTTCCGAATCCGTCTGCTGACGCCCAACATGGCCGCTCTGGACGGCAGAGATACCATCATCTCATCCCGCTGTGTGTTGAGGTTTACACGGCTCACCTGTACCCTCTCCTCCCTGTAGTTCACCTACCCACGCTGCAGAGCTACTGCTGTCAACCCTCGGTTCCGCCATCTCAGAGGACGCTACTGCTCGCCTTATCGGCTCTCACGTCCCTTCATGTTGCATCTCTTCCACCACCCTCCCGGCCCCCATCAGGGAGTAATACCGACTGGATCAGCGCAGCAAAGTCGTTTCTGGAAGAATGCTTGGCCACACGCCAGGCATACGACTATGTTGCTCACCTCCAGCTGAACGATATTTTGACGTCGTTTCTGCTGTCCAGACTTTACATTGAAATGGGGAACAGCCGAAAAGCCTGGGTGTATCTGCGAGAAACAGGTGCTCTGGCGGCCGAGTTTGGTCTGGATCGGGAAGATGGATATGCAGGTTCGGAAGGAGAAGATGACCTGGCGAGGAGGAGGCTGTTCTGGGCAGTTCTGATTTCCGAGAGGTAAGTTTCGTGACCACTACGGGACGAGGACGTCTGCTGACAGGAACAGGGAATTTGCCATCCTGAGAAACAAGCCCATCACGAGCTTCAGACGGAAACCAGAACTGCCAACTTTTGGATACCGGTATGAAGATCCGGGTGTCCATGCTGGCTTGCTACAGCTGGCGGAGGTATACAAGCCGGTTGGTGAGGACTTTGTCGCTGCGTGGAACGACACCTCCCCCCAAAACGAAGACTCGCCGGCCGCTCACAACATGAAAGCCGCAAAGCTGCTGGAGCTCCAACGCCGTCTGTCACAGGTGACAGAGTCAGGGGAGGAGGCGACAGAAATGCAAAGGGTGCATCTCACGATTACTCGTCAGTGGCTGAAGCTGGTTACTTGGCAACTGTCGTTCCGCGCCCACCTGCTGTCGTTCGGCAACGTCCACGAAAGCATGCGGTTCACTTATCCGCTCATCATCGCCCACGAGACGTTGTCGTTTTTGAACTCGCTGCCGCCAGGGCGCTGCTACAGTAGGATTTCGACCATGGAAAAGATTTACGAGATTGGCATCTGGTGGCTCAATGTCGTCGGGGCTGTGGATAACCTCGAGCTTGGGAGGCACGGTGCCAAGACAGATGATAACCTTCTGGACGCTTTTGTCAGGGTTCTCAGCGTCGGCGAACAGAGCAGGGTACTGTTTGCAGAACGGCTCAAGATGTTTGCCGCTGCTGGCGACAAGTCAGACCTCAGTTACATGGTGGGCAGGAAGTTCTCCCAAGAGGTGAGGGAGCAAGGACACAAAGAGATCAAGACGGAGGAGCCGGAGCCGAGATCTGTGCCGCGAACAGCACACAGCAGCAGTAGATACCACCACGGCGGGCCGTCGCTGGCGGTGGACACGCCCTCACCGGCGACCAATGGGCCTCCAACGGCACCTCACACCAACGAGACACCGCCGCCGCCGTGGTTCCAGGGGTACAATAACAGTGCCATCACCACGCCTACCAGCTCTGGGTGGGCGTCGACGACGTCAGAGGTGAACAGTCCGGAGATTTTGTTCAGTCCTGACATTGTCAGTCCCGGGCCGGGAGCGACGAGCTTTGGGTATTTTCGCTTTCCGGGGCCGAAGCCAGGGGAGGGGGCTTGACATGGGTGTTTGCTAGATCATAATGTTTGTATATGAACCCGCCAAAAAAATACAAAGTAGAGGAAGCGATTTCCATTCATCACGAACACTTGTCCAATTCTGATTAACCCCAACCCCCGATTGACAAAGTGGAAACATCACGCGGGAACAAAGACATGACGAAAAGAAGATGTATATATATAATATTAAAAAAATGACCAATAAACCAAAACAATGCATGCATGCTATGTACTGTATCCGAGTTCTTTCGTTCCTGCACCTTTTCTTACCCCTCCCCCCCCCAGCCCCTTCTTTTTGTTCCTTTTCCTCTGGGTATATCTACCTCCCTCAAAACTACTGCAACATCTGCTGCATAGCATTAACTCTATACCCCTCCCTCCGTCCCATCAACTCCTCATGCGTCCCCTTATCCACCACCTCGCCCCCCTCCACCACAAAAATCACATCCGCCTTCTTCACGGTGTGCAGCCTGTGCGTAATAGCCAGCACGGTCGTCCCCCGCGCGACTTTATCCAACCCCTCCTGCAGCGCCGCTTCAGAGGCAGCATCCAAAGCCGAAGTGCTCTCGTCAAGCAGCAACAACCTCGGCTTGCGAACCAACGCTCTCGCGATGGCAAGTCTCTGCCTCTGCCCACCGGACAAGCGACCGGCGGAGGCGCCGCACTGGGTGTCGTACCCCTCCGGCATGGCCATGATCACGTCGTGGATGTTGGCTAGCTTGCACGCCTCCTCGATCTCCTCCTGGGTGGGGACGTGGTCGGGTTTGGAGCCGAGGGAGACGTTGAACCGGATGGTGCCGTCGAACAAGGCCGGGTCTTGCGGGACAATGGCGATGGAGTCTTTGATGGAGGCGACGGAAGAGGTGACGTCTACGTTGTCGAGCAGGATTGAGCCCGACGAGGGGGAGTAGAGGTTCTGGACGAGGGACATGATTGTTGATTTTCCTGCTCCGGACGGGCCGACGAGGCCGACGAATTGACCGGGGGTGATGGTGAAGGAGACGTTCTTGAGGGTCCGGTGGTCTGGGCGGGAGGGGTAGGAGAAGGTGACGTTGGTGAAGGTGATTTTCATGCCTGGTTCACCACCAGTAGCGGCCTTGGCTGCCGAGGAGAGGGCAGACTCCGGGTCGGAAGAGGGGCCGGGCTTGCCGTGCGGGCCACGCTTGGAGTCGATCTCGTTGTTTGTTCCCAGTGCCAAAACGTTCATGATGCGGGAGAAGGCGGTGCGGGCGCGGGAGAACTCGGGGGCGAGGGTGAACATTTGGCCCCAGAGCTGGGCGCTGACGAGCATGGAGACGACGATGATGAAGAATTGGGTTTGGTTGGCCTCGCCCGACATGATCTTTTGCGAACCCCACCAGTAGGCGAAGGCGTAGATCAAAAAGGACATGCTGTTGCTGATGGCGAGCCAGACGTTGGTGAAGGCTGCCGCGCGGACCATTTCGTCGCGGGTGTTCTTCAGGAGACGGGCGTACGAGCCCATGACCTCCTTTTCGAGGGACAAGGCGGCGACGGTCTTGATGGATTGGACGGCTTCGACGGCCACACCGGTTGCCTTGGCGTAGGAGGCCGCGTGGCGCTCTTCGTAGCGGGCGAGCTGGCGGAGTTGCATGAAGCCCGCCCCGAGGAGGATCGGGACGACGGAGAGACAGACGATGGCAATCTTCCACTGGATGATGTGCGAGAGGATGATGGCGACGAAGAAGTTGACGATGATGGCAAAGACGGTGCCGATGGTGCTACCCGAGAAACCACCGATGGCGGCGCTGTCTTTGGTGATGATGTCAAGCAGGGAAGTAGGGTTGCGGCCGCCGGATTGATGCCATTCGACACCCTGCTCCATTAGGCTTCTGAAACTGAGCACGCGGATGGCATACAGCATTCTCTCGGCAATGAGACCAAAGCAGGACCACGCAAAGAAGTTGGCCAGGAGCTCAATGCAGGCCAACATGAAGAGCAAACCACCAAAGAACTTTCCGAGGTCGAGGATGTCCTCGGGCGAGTTCTCGCACGGGTTGAGAGCACCAACGGTGAAACCAAAGATGAGACCAGATCCGGAGAAAGTACCACCGACAATGACAGCCGCGAAGACAGCCAGAAGCAACCAGGGGAAAGAAGGCTTGACAAGACGGGCCAGACCAGCAAACACGGATCCCCAGCCGGCCTCCTTCTCCTTCTCCTCCTTGTCACTGGCCGCCTTTTCAGCAGCAGACTCATCCCTGCTGGAGATGGAAGCAGCAAGAACCTTGGCTGTCTCCTCCTCTTCCTCGTCAACGACAACAACATCCTTCTTCTCGCTGATCTCAGCAACAGCCGAAGCAGCAGCCTCCTGGTTACCCAAGCTCTGCAGCTTGGCCATGGCAAAGAACTTGCCATCTTCTCTCGCCATCAGCTCGTCGTACACCCCCTCCTCCACAACCTCACCCGCCTCCAGAACAACAATCTTGTCCGCATTACGAACGGTACTCAACCTATGAGCAATGGAAATTACCGTCCTCCCCTCGGCAGCCCGCTCAACAGCAAGCTGGATCTTTTTCTCAGAAGTCGAATCCAGCGCTGCAGTGGCCTCGTCCAGCAGCAAAATCTTGGGATCTCTAATCAAGGCACGCGCGAGCGCCACTCGCTGTCTTTGGCCACCAGACACCAAAGACCCCTTGGGCCCAGCAAAAGTACCGTAGCCCTTTTCCAGATTGGAGATGAAGTTGTGCGCGTCAGCCTGGACGGCAGCCTCCTTGACAAGACGGATGACTTCCTGCACCGCAGGGTTGGCAACGCTACTGTCGTCAACGGCATCCTTGCCCTTCTTGGCCAGCTCGGCGAGCTCGCCACCTTCTACCACCGCCTTGAGAGCTTGGTGTTCTGGCTTGGGGGAGTTGACCAGACCGAGAGCGATGTTCTCAAGGATGGAGCGGTCGAGAAGAGAAGGTTCTTGCTGGACGAGAGAGATAAAACTGCGGAGGTGGGACACGTTCAGTGTCTTGATGTCTGTGCCGTCCAGGGTGATGACACCAGAATCGGGATCCTGCAGACGGGCGACGAGGGCGGCGATGGTGGATTTACCGCTTCCCGAAAGACCGACGAGGGCGGTGTGCTTGCCTGCCGGGAGGACAAGGTTGACGTTGCGGAGGACTGGCTGCTCGGCGCGGGAGGGGTAGGCAAAGGAGACGTTTTCGAGCTGTATGTGGCCGGTGGTGGTCTCAACCGGCAAAAAGGCGCCTTCGGAGGAAGTGCCGTCGATGGTGGAGGGGGCGTTGATGTCGGCCATCAGACGAGAAAAGGCAGTGGAGGCGCTGCCGAGGATGGGGAGGATGGGGGCGATGTTGCCGAGACAGACGCAGGCTTTCAGGGAGTGTTAGTTGTTGACAGTCAGTAAAAAAGGGAGAGAGAGAGAAAAACATACCATCAACCAACAAGAACACCACAGTATAAATCTGACCAACAGTTTCGGTTCCCTCGCCCCTGATGGTATCAACAACCATGCGACTACCCTGCCAGAAGGCCAGAGCATTGGCGCTGTACGCAATAAAGTACAGCATACCAGCCTGCATGGCAGCAGCAATGCCCTTTTTGACACCAGCACCTCTAGCCACGGCGACATGCTCGGCAAACTTCTTTTCCAGTCTGCCAGCCATACCGAACGACTGCACGACACCGACGTGCTGAAGCGCCTCACCGGCAATGTTGCTGGCGGCAGTCTGGGAAGAAGCACTGATGACCATGAACTTGGTGACAAAAAAGCCACCGCCCATCGCCATGAGCAAGAACGCCGGGATGAGCGAGACCAAAATCCCGGCCAACTTTGCCTGCTTGATGAACGCGACGACGTAGCAGGCGAAGAAGAAACTGGTCGAGGCGATCAAAACGCCCACCTTTTCGGAAGTACCGGCCTGGACAGCAGTCATGTCGCCCTGTAGTCTGGTCGAGACCTCACCGCTGGCGGCAGATCGCGCGTCGAAGAACCCGGGGGGCTGTCTCAGCAAAGCCTGGACATACTGCCCTCTGAGTCTCTGAGCGAGACGCTGGGAGAAGAGAGACCAGGACAGGACGTAAACGTAGATGCAAACCAAGGCAGCAATGGCAATATACACCAGCTTGAGGACCTTGTCGTTGATGGAAGCCTCATAGGCGAAAGGGTCGTTGACGCCGTTGATGGAGGTGGAAGTGGAGGTGAGGTCAGAGTCGCCGGCCGCACAGGTGGCATCGTTCATGTTGTCGACGAGCTCACCAAAGATGATGCCCATCAGGGGGAAGGGGATACCGGCACCGGCGGCGGAGATGACGCCGGTGATGAGAAGACAGACGTCGATCCATGTTGGCGACGCGGAAGCAAAGATCTTGAGCCAGACGAGGAGGCCACCTTGGGGCTGGAGAGATGTTAGGGATCGAGTCAAATGTAAACAATGAGTGAAGCTATTCAGGGGCCGAAAAGGGGGATTTAGGGGCAGACACAGAAAAGACTTACGGCTTGTTCGGCAGCTGCCGGCGCATCAGAAGCACTTCCAGTGGTGGTAGGGGCAAGTGCCTTCTCCTTATCAGCGGCCGCATCACTCGCTGCAGCGCTGTGCGGACGCTTCTCTCCGGAAGCCTCGACCGCCATTGTACCTGCTTTTTTACCGTGTTGCTTCCACGGCGGGGGGGGCAGGTTCTCTTGGCGAAATCAGGCCACTTTTTCTGGACAAGAGAGAGAAGAGATTGTGCGTGGGAAGAGATCACAATCTGAAAGGGGACATGGGAAGAGAAACACAACACAGGCCAAAAAGAAGTTATGGCGGGATGAATACCCCCGTCTCCCGGGGGCGTTGATCTTTTCCCTGGGGGAAACACATTTCAGGCAATTTTTTTTTTGGTCTCCTTACTACCTTATTCTGGTGACCAATTCACTGTATGTTTCCCCCACTCACCCCAGTCACTTCAGCGGCCGAAACAGTGAGGTGACCTTCCCCCAGCAAAACGACAGCGGAAGCTTCCGGTTCTACCCACCACCCATTGACCCCGATTCCGGCCTTGGCGAGGGCGGATCTGATTAGGTGAACGGCCGGATCTGATAAAAAATTTGTTGCGCTGGGCGGCCCCCACCTGATAGTCTTCGATGTGACCCTCGAGTTGCGTCCTTTTTAATTACCTTGGTATGCGGTCGTCCTGCATGGTTCCTGCTTTGCTGTCCCTTGATCGGATGAAGTAGGCATCACGGTATGTATCTTGTGAAAAGATTACTTATTTGTGGGAGATTTGAACGGAATTGCACCAGATCACCGCCGGTCTTCGAGGTCTTCATCCGACTTTCTTGTGTGACCAGGGGCAAGGGGAGCTGACCCAGTTTAAAGTTATCTGATCCGAAGAATCTCCACTGTTCGGCTCCATGCAAACGAGCCATTTTAACGCTCGCCATCCCAGCCACCGAACACCCCTGTAAACATTCTTTCTTGCCCACCATCCGAACTCCTGCTGCTGCTTTTTCTCGCAACATTGGTCTTTTGGTTTTCTGTCTGCTGTATTACCGTTGATCCCCACCATCTTCAATGTCGACAGAGGTACAATGGCGTAACTCGTGTGTAATGATGGTCCGTAACACCACCCAAGCTGGGGGCAACGACCTCGTCAAACATCTTTGAACATCCCTCCCGAAGCACAAAACTTCCCCAAGTCTTGGCCCGGAGATATCGCCGCTTTGGGATTCCGGTGGAGCATTACGTTATGGACATGGATGAACCGACAACAGCCCACCCTGCTAGTTTCCACCTGTGCATTATCACGATCATCTGATAAAAATTCTTCGTCTATGGCTCCATCACCCTTTCTCCACGGATCATCGACTCGGCCACACTGTCGTCATGTCCGAGAAAGGCCGTCGGACACGGTCACCGAGCGGTAGCTTCACGGGTGAAAGGGTCGTCTGGAGTTGCCCACGGTGAACTGGCACATTGTGGATTCCGCTTGTGCCTGACAGCGAGCCACGGCATTGTCTCATCTGAACCTCGAATTCGGATCGAGACACGGCAGAGGAGACACAAGTGTGGTGGTGTCTGCTGTGCGTGAAACGTTTCTCAGAGAGGGGAGATGGGCCTGGAATGCCCTCTCAATGCAACCACCTTCGTACTCGTATGCTTCTCCGTGTTGGCGCCATCAACTGTCAAAGCTGTCAATTTTGGAGCCTTCATCGGCCATCTACCGGTGACAAGCTTCTTCTAGCACAGATCTAGAAGTGCGTGTCTATTATGGTCTAACCTCAACGTCTGGTTGTTGTTGTTGTTGTTGTTGTTGTTGTTGTTGTTGTTGTTGTTGAACCTGTTGTTGGCGCTGCTGCTGCTGCTGCTGCTGTTGCTTCCTCTCCTCCTCCCACTCCGCCCACACCTCCCCCAACTTTCTCCCATCAACCTTGACTCCATACACACCCTGCGGCAGCTTCACCATGAGCGGTACCTCCACGTCCTCTTTGGTCCCCAACACGGCCGCCTCGTGAACCACCTGGGCTATATCCGCGGGGACTCTCCTGAAGCCCTTTCTGAAGTACACGTTTTCCGATGTGGGCGTCGCTTCGAGGTAGATGGGCAGTCCGATAGTGTTTCCGAGGTCAACAATGGCCTGGACAAGAGCAGAGCCAGCTCCCTTGCCTTGGTGCTTGGGGTCAACGGCAAAAGCGTGGATGTCTGTTGCGGTGATGATATTAGCGAGATGCTTAACGTGATGGGAAAGCCACAGGCAGCAAAATGAGGTCCCCGAAAGACCACCCCAGACTAAAAGCGCCACTTGGATGCGCTGCAACGCTCAACGTGCCCTCCCAGGAAACAATACAGCACGTGGTCTCTGCAGGAAGCACAAGAGTCTCTCTCGCAAGAAAATTCCAGCAATGGAAATATCAAGCGAGCTGCTGCTGTGTTCACATGGCATTTTTGTCCAGAAATCGAGATCAGATAGAAAAAGAAAAAAAAAACACTCACAAACATACGGCCTCCCCCCCATAATCCTCTCCCTCGCACTCCAAAGCCCGTCCAGCACCCTCTCCGCCCGTGTCCTCTGCTCCCCGTGAAGCCACCCAATCTCTGGCATCTTGCGCTCCTCTTCTGTTCTAGGCTTGACAAACACGTCGCAGAGGGCCATGCCGATGATCTCACCCGTCTCCGAGTCGACACACTTGTAGGTGTACTGCGTCTCGGAGGTGTGCCACCATTGCAGGGTGCCGTTGGTGTGCGCCTCGCGAAACTCCTCGGACGTGACGCCCGAGGGGAAGAGGATGTCGAGCAATAAAGAGCCGGAGGGGTCGGTGGTGAAGGCGGCAAAGTAGGCGTCGTAGCAGGGCCGGATGTCGGGGATGAGGGCTGGGAGGACGAGGTAAGGCATTTTGGGCGGTTTGTCTCTCTTACCGTAATATGTGGAGGAATGTATAAGAGGTATAAACATGAGGTGAAGTATAAGACTAACAAACACCAAGACAGAACAACAACACCCTCAACTCAACACACCGCGACAAAAGCAGACAAGAAGCACAAGATATATCACCCCCCCCCCCCCCCTGGGACCATCGAGGCCCTCACTCGTCTTACTCGTCTCACCTCTCTCTACCTACCCCATTCCTCACCATCAAAAAAACCGCAACCGCCGCATATCCTGTGTGCACATTACCTTGATGCAACCTCACCCTCACCGAACCGCAGATCCCTTTTCGCACCTCACAAAACGTAAGCGGCGTTTGCAAATTCATCTACTATAACCCACAACGGCATATTGCCGCCCTGACAAGTAAAATGTACAGTGCCAATCACTTCACCTTTCCAGGTCCCCTAGTGACGGGCAATGCCGCAAAACTACCGCATCTCGGAGGTAAGATGCTGCATCGCCAACAGAGAAGCCGCGTCAACATAGCCGATATGAATGCCTACCTACCTCCTCCGCCGCCGCGCGCGGGATGATGAAGATGTGATGATCGCTACGTTAGGTAGGTACCTCCTGATGGTACGCTTGCGGGGATACTCCATAGGTGGAATCCCTTCCGGTTTGTTGAGATCTCACCTACTCACCCACAAAGTGACAGTGGGACTGGATCTCGCAACAACACAACAACAACAACCAAGCAGCTGTAGGGGTGGTAACGTAGCCGTGACTGCTGTAAGAGAATCCCTCCTTCCTAAAGCATCATCAAACTCCAGAATCAGGGCACGCGTGATGATGATGATCATCATCATCTCAAAAAAAATGGCAAATCCTTCGGGCAGATCCCGATCAGAAGGATCGTCTCTTTTCTCCGTGGCTTGAGTTGACCCGTGACACCGCCCCGGGAAGAAGGGGCGGCTTTGCGGCCTTGGAAGAGAGTTAAATAGTAGCGAGACTCTCTCTGGATATCTTGACTGAGAAGCAAGCCAAGCACCATGTCTGTTGTCGTCAGTGGCTACCGGCCGTGGTTGCACAATCTCAATTTCTAGGGACTCGCATGGAGGGGGGGGGGGGGGAGCTCATGACTTCAAGATTTGTCTTGCTCTCCATGCTCCCCAGTCATCGGCCTCAAAAACGCTGGCTTGTCATTCTTGACGACTCAATGCTCGGTGTTAACATCACCGCTGTGACAAAACCCGCGTCGTGTTGGCCCGAAGCCGAAACCGGAGCAACCCCCCAAGGTGCGGCTCATAGCGGGCGGCAATAAGGACGCCTCCTTGGCTCAGAGGAAAAGCCAGCCCCTTTCATTTACACAACCACAACTCCAAGTTGCCCAAACACTCACCGCACCTTGAACCTCTTCCAGTATCGCAGTCCTGCAGGAATCTCAAGATCAGCACTCCCCCTCCTCAAAACCAACTCCGACAAACCCGCCATCTCAAAAATCTCGCTCAAAACTTCAACCCTCGGCATTGACGTCCCTCGATGGAGCCACAACCCCACCCAATGACACGATGCCCAGTAAAGTTATCTGATCCGTCCCTCGTCCAGGGACCCCCTGTTGACCAAATCCACTCCACACGCTCTCCTGAACCCCTGTCAAGATATTGAATCGGGGGTTTCAGCAACGGCTTTTTTTCTGATGTTTTTTTCCCCTCACCCCACCTCCCTTCACACCCTTTCTTGATCACCACCACCTACCACCACCACCTACCGCATGTTCTGGGAGCACAGGACTTCTGCCACCACCACCACTACTCTACTCACCCATCCAATGAGCAATAGCAAGCCACACCTTCCCCTACCCACTGCATTGGTCAATGGTTCGGGGCCACATCCAAATGAGGGAATGCCCTTCATGAGAAACGCTCGGCCGACTGTCTTCCGCAGCGTGACATCACATACTACATACACACACACCATCACCTTGAACCCCTTTTTGCCTGTTTTTGTTTGTTATAGGTTAATACCGTACGTACGTACATACACACCTGTATCCTTCTCGTACCGCATCGCACATCTTTGCCTGCAGCAAGGCAACAATGGGATGGGATGGGATATCCCTCTCGCCACATGCCCGGCCACGCCATCTTCACAGATCCGTACCCACTTGTTCGCAGAGAGCAAAAGCCCATGAACCTGGTCACACACATGGCCAAGTCTCGCTTGCGGAGACAAAAGGGAGCTAGAGGCCGGCGAGGAAGCCATCTCGGTGCATCGGTCGAGTCGATACCGCACCCTCCTTCCCGTCTTGCATCCAGGAAAGTAGTTGCTAGTCCCGACCACCGGCGTGTCATCTTGCCGTATTCAAGGGCTCGAGAATCACGAGCCAATGTCCAACAAACCTGAACCTAGCCCCAGACCCTTCAAGAGCGGGGTTTTTTTTTTCTTGTCGTAAGGTCTAGTAGTGAAGACCCGGGAATGGGGTATCATTCCGGCTAGTATCCAGCACCCATACATATCCAAACATGGATGGGTTGGATTCGCTAGTCTAGCAGATGCAGGTTCACCAAAGTGAAAAGTTGCCGGTCGTACCTGGTCTTTCCCTCTCCTGCTTTCTTTCCTTTTTCCTGTCCTCTGTATCAAGAACTGCAAGAAGAGTGTCACCCCGATTATTGTACCTCTCTTGTCAGCATTCTCCCTCGAACAAAAAGTAGCAGAAAGGGATATCCCGCTGCCCACCCCCATGCGTTGATCCTGTCCTGTAAGGTCACTACACGCTACCACGACACGGCAAAGAACCTCTCGACACAAGATAGAAAGCGGGAATTAACCGACAGTCGTGTCCCTTCCCGTAGCCAGCTCGGCAAAACATACCAGACAATATGCATCTCGCCCAGCACGCACCCGGCATCCTGGGTGGCCTCCGCCGCGATGCCATGCAGCTCGACACCCAGACCATTCCTCTAGACTCTGTTACCAGGACGCTACCAGTACCCGAATCAGAGTCTGCTCTCGACGCCCTTCTTCTCGCCTGGGGTGCTCTCCTCCAAAGACAACGAGGCGACGACGACAGAGTAGAACAGTTCTCCTGGGGCCACAAGTCGCAAAGCTCACCATCAGAGATCTCCACCCGCTTTTCCCTCAGGGCTCTCGGTCTCGAATTGACCAGGTCACGATCAGAGTCTGTATCAACCTTCCTCCAGGCCGTCAAGACCTCAACCGAGAACATCGCCCGCCCAGGGCTCCTCTACCTCTTCTTCAACGACGAGAAGGAGACCTCCTTTCCCCAAAAAGAGACGGCTGGACCATCTGTATGTACTCCACCGTTTGCCCCCCCGCCCCTGAAACACGACTGACTGACAATCCCCAGCAATTCGACTTCCAACTCCGTGTCTCCAAGCATGCTTCTGCCCTCACCCTCGAGGGCGTTTACCCTACCACCGAAAAGCCCGACTCCCTCAACTCCCGGCAGGCCGGAGACAGACTCGACACCCTAATTCAACTTGTTAATATCATCACCACTCAGCCCGAAGCCCCCATCTCGGCCCTCCTCGAGCCCCTCGGCCGTGACCTCGACCAAATATGGGCCTGGAACGCCGAAATGCCCCCTCTGATCGACCGGACGATGCAAGACATCATCTCTGAGCAGGCCGCCGCTCGCCCGGACAAGATTGCGCTTTCCTCGTGGGATGGCCAATGGACCTACGCCGAGCTCGAGCTCATGTCTACCCGCCTGGCGCATCACCTCGTTTCTCAGGGCATCACAGTTGGTGTTAATGTACCGCTATGCTTCGAAAAGTGCCGGTGGACCATCGTCGCTTTGTTGGCCATCATGAAGGCTGGTGGCGCATTTGCCTTGACGGACCCAACATCTCAGCCAGAGGGCAGACTGCGCGCCATGGTGGAGCAAACCGGCGGCAAGCTGGTCGTTGCCTCCGCCGCTCAGACTGAGCTGGCGAAGCGTCTTGTTCCTGAAGATGGCAGCCAGGTGGTAACGGTGAACGAGGAGCTGTTCCAGTCTTTCTCCACCATCGAGGGCGAGCTCCCCCCATTGCCCACTATCCCGACTGTCACCTCTCCTCTCTACATCCAGTTCACCTCTGGCAGCACAGGCAAGCCCAAGGGTGTCGTTGTTTCTCACGCCAACTTCACCAGCGGTGCCATTCCCCGTGCTGAGGCGGTGGGGTACAAGTCTTCTACCAAGTGCTTCGAGTTTGCCAGTTATGCCTTCGATGTCAGCATCGATTGCATGCTCTGCACTCTGTCAGTCGGTGGTACCATCTGCATCCCCTCTGATGCCGACCGCATGAATGACCTTGGCGGTGCCATCAGGGCTAGTGGCGCCAATATGGCGCACATGACACCCAGTGTTGCGCGTGTGCTCGATCCCGCCGTGATTGCTGAGCTTGACGTCTTGGGATTGGGCGGTGAAGCCATCTCGGCTTCTGATGCGGCTGCGTGGAGCAAGGGCAAGACCAGCGTCATTATCGCGTATGGCCCCTCCGAATGCACTGTCGGCTGCACTGTCAACAACACCTTTGCCAAGAACAAGGACGAGCGCAAGGTGTTTACGACCGGAAACATTGGCCGTGGTGTCGGCGGTGTAGGCTGGATTGTCGACCCCGAGGACCACGACCGTCTGGTTCCTGTCGGATCAGTCGGCGAGCTGCTGGTGGAAGGCCCCGTCGTCGGTCTTGGTTACTTGGGTGAGGCCGAGAAGACGGCTGAGGTGTTTATTGAGGACCCTGTATGGTTGGTTGCCGGACACAAAGAGATCCCTGGCAGAACCGGCCGGCTCTACAAGACTGGTGATCTTGTTCGGTACGATGCTGATGGGTCTGGTGACTTTGTCTTCATCGGCCGCAAGGATGCTCAAGTCAAGCTCCGTGGACAGCGTGTTGAGTTGGTTGAGATTGAGCACCATCTCCGGCACCACCTCCCAAGCCGTGTCAAGATCGCTGCTGAGGTCATCAAGCCTGCGGGAGCCGAGCCTACTTTGGTGGCCTTTTTGGCCGAGCCTCGCACCAAGAGCGGCACAACCGAGGAATGTGACGAAGCGGAGGCCACCTTCTCTGATGAACTGACCAAGGCCCTGACCGGTATCGAGGAAGCGCTTGGCGTCGATCTTCCCCGGT